ATGTGGGTGCAGCAAAAGAATGTTTAAGTTTGATGTTTAAAAGACTGGTATTTCATCTACCTGTGAAATGAATCCCAAGACAAGTTTCTTTTTGCTAACACTTGACAGACATCCATTAAAATGTCTTAAACATGTCTGTGAAGTTCTCTGTAACCAACACACTATATTAAAAAGTAATCTCTCTCTACACTAGCATATATCAGTTTGGAGGAAGAAATAAGGCTTGACTAATTTAAACAGAAAAAGAAGTTAGAAAAGCAGGCAGCCAACTGATACTGAAGTCTGTGCATTTAACTGAAATTTGTTTAAAATTATAATGTTCTTATTTCAAAGTAAAGACAGATGAAGATAAGGAAACCTTCAGGTTCCTGTATATATCCAAACAGCATTTTATCACGATGATCTGAGCCTCTGCTGGCCCAACATTACCAAGGAGACAGGGTAGAGATGCACCTTTATCAACTAACTAATATCTATTTTATATATATTATGTTATATAGCTTTAAAGCCTAACTTTAGAAAAAGATGAAACACGTGATGGAGAAGGGGAAGAACTCATACACAAATAGATGTCGCCTCACCTTTAAGCATTATGGAAGAATTGAGCCTTTAAAGAAATAGAAATAAATTAAGTCATAGCTTTGCAGCTGGAGTTTGGAGGGCATTTTGAACCCTGGGGCGAAATAAAAAAAAAAAATGTAATGAAAATGATTATGGCTGGTTTAGTGGTTAGTGTGGTTGGGAGAAGTAGATAGCTGTGGTAATCTGAAGTCATAAGGCAGGACAGACACGCACCTTTACAGACTAAACTAAGATACACATATCACATGCTTTCACAAATCAAGTTCACTTCATCTTCCCTTTCTCCACCATCCGTTGCAACTTTTCTGAAGTCGGACTGCAACTTTACCCTGCAGCTTTGGAGAGGGACTATTTTTATTTGTTCTGCTATGAGAATAGGTTAAAATATCACCAAAACAGGATGGCAGAGAATAATTTTCACCATTCACTTCAGGATCATTATAAAAAACCATTAAGCTCCTTTTTGGAACCAGGTTGCTGAAACAATACAGCTTCCAATCAAATCAGGGACACGTCATACCCAAGGCAAAAAGCCTCAGCTGCTAAGTAGTTTAAATTATGTGGAGGTTCAATGCGTATTGTTTTAATAGAGCTGTGTACCTTGCAAGAGAAATAGGGAAGTTATCACAGAAGGAGACCAGACAGCAGAAATCCCAGGACACAGCCTGGACAAACACTTGGAGGTATGGCCCTGAATAAAACCTGGAGAAAGCTTGTTGGGCAAACACTGGTTGAAATAATTTTGAACTGCAAGCAAAGACACTAGACCTTATTTTGTCCTACATTCAGGAAAAGAAATGTGTTTATAAAAACAAGATTGCAGACACCTGACTCCATCACCAATTTAGCTACCTAGTCAAGTCAAAAGAGGTGGCAATAGTACCGAACTAACTCTTATATTCAACAAGAAACCACCTTGCTCAGTACATGAAACAAATACTCATACTGAGATCAGCAGACAAGAGATGGAGGGGAGACAAAGTTCTCTCAATTTGAACAACAAACCCCTCTACTTATCACTCCTTTGGGGTAATTTCTTCCTTGTGAGAAACCATCACAAAAACTTGAAGGATCTAAAGGCTAAGTCACATGACTCCCACTGACTGGTTTAAATCATTCTGTGCATAATGGAAGCAATACAATATATACCAGAAGCTATACAAAATAAAAACTGTATTCCTAGTGCCAGGAGTTAGCTTTCTTTGCATCTGGCCTGATGTGGACTGCTGCTTTATAATTTCTCAGAAGTGCACATATTCGAAGCTAGTACTCACTCTTAGTGGACTAGGAGTTTCAATGCCCATTTCTTTTTAAACTGAAAACCTGACAAGTCTGCTCAACATCTATTAGACAGAACCTACTCAGCTATAAGGGTGCCTATAGACATGTATGTGGGAATGGCGTTCTGGTTACACTGAGTCTGCTGGAGCGTGCTAATCAGTGTGCTCCAGCAACCTCCACATCTTGTGTATTCATGCTCCCTGCACTTAAAAATGCTGGTGGGGGTGCTTTAACTAAAGCTCATTTCCTGCCGCTAGTTTAAAGTGCAGGGATACTGAAAACGCAATACACTACGAGCGCTTTAACTATAGCTGCTCTTGGAGCCACTTTAATTAAACACCCTTGGTTCCCACCTTTGGAGCACGTGTAAACAACACTCCAACCATGCAACTGACCTACCTTCCCTTACACACCTCTCATCATAACTTTGATCCAGATTATTAGTGTTTGCTAGTAAAGGAGAATTAAAAAAAATCCTCAGAACTGTAACACTAGAGACAGATACCGGATTTACCAAAGTTAATTTGTAGATAATTTTTTTCCCCTCAGTGACAATAAGCTTTAGTGCTGTAAGCTCAATACCCCTGCCTCCATTGGTACTGAATTAGTGACTGAAAACTGCAGTTTCTATACAAAACCATATATGGAAACAGTCATTTGGAAGCAATGAGCCCTTTCCCATAGGCAGTAAAGAGGAGATATCATACTGCTTTAGATGTAGGAGGAAGACAAGCCCCTTCACAACAATTAGGTGCTATTTTATAGAAATGGCTGGAGGTTTCACATAACCACAAAATAATCTATGTATAAATACCAAACACGAGCAATGAGCAGTTTCAGTCTCTCCTGACACTTCCAAGAGTTAGGTTGCAACTGTGGCCCTTTCAGAGCAGTTGTATACACAGTCATAAATAGAACTTGGTTAGACAAGTAAAATCTGCTCAAGTATTTCCTCACAATGCAAGTTTTTTATTTTGCCTTGCATCAAGTACTTGCATTAAACTCAAACTGCAGTTCTATAGCATTATATGCAGCACATATCAATAATCTTTATATTAGCTATACTACTTACAGGTTCTATGATTATATGTATTACAATAAGACAGACAAAACATTTGCACAGGTATTTTATTTTTCCTGTGGATGGTGACAGTGCTTATGGATTGTAATTTAAAACATTCAGAAAGCACAGATCATATCAATCTCACATACTTTACATCACAATTCAACAATGTTTACACTTTTGTATCTACTAAATCAAGTGAACAAAATGGCATAAGTGTTTACGCTATCTTTCTCTGTAAACAAGGCTTTTTATGAACAATGGTAAATGGAATTAATACACATCACCATACGAAAGAGGAATGACCCTTTTCTTTAAATAAATGCCTCTGTTTATATAAATACTCTGATTCTCTCAATATACATTTACAGCCCTGATCAATTAAAAGCAATACCTACACTTTTCTTTAAAAGAAAATGTCAAGAGATGGACCACTATAGGAAATATTCATCTAAGTAAAGGGAAAATGAAGCAAGCATAGGATTAAGAGAGTTAGAAGTATCCTTGTACTTCAGTCTCACTTCTGTTTACACCAACACTATGGACAGAATTGTCAGGGTATGGAACCGTTTACTTGAATTCCAACAAATTGCAATCGATCTTGTAGTACACGTATGGGTAGTATTCCTGTTGACTGAGGTTTAAGCCTGGAATATCCATAGTTGCCTGTGGAATATATTTAAAAAAGAAAAAAAGGGGGAGAGGGAGAGATTACTAAACTTTTACAATGTAACTGGTTAGTTTCTCAGAAGATGACATGTTCAAATAAACATTTAAGATGCATTAATCTCATGTGATACCTCAAAATTTTATTCATGCCAATTTGAATTTTAAAACCTTTGATGAAGTTTACAGAGCTAGAAAGCAAAAGGGGAAAAAAGTAATTCAGTTATCATATCAAAGCTTCCTAAAATGGAAAGTCAGCAGGAAAAAAAAAAATCTCCCTTGGAAATCATGGTAAGTTTGCAAGTAAAGAATATGCTATTTCATATGAAGTGACTGTTGTTACCATAATACCACCCGAGGCAAAAACTGCAGTTATTTCCTTTCTCTCTCTACTGTAGCATTTAAATAGTTTTCATGCATTAATACCTACACAATTCTGTACTGAACTATTTTCCCTAAGCTAAAAATATTTAAGCAATACGTTTTTTCTTAAATATTTTCAAGTGTTGAAATCCAGAGGAGAATCTGAAAAGGTAGCACAGGAAAGTAAGTAAGTGAACATATCTAACCTTCATTTATTTGACTAAGCTGTTATAGTTTTAAATTTGCGGGAACTTGAAATTGTACTTTGAGGAAAAATTCAACTGTTTCAAAATGCTGGAAGTTTGTTGGAAGATACAGGCTGAATAACAAGTATTTTTAATAATTCTATCAAGCCAGGGATTGGACCATGTTATTGGAGAAGAGCAATTTTTGTCATTTATATGGGGAATAAAGTGATCCTGGAAACAAATGGTTTGTTAAATCAGACATGAACTGAACAGCGTGCAAAATTTAAGAAAAGGATAAAGACCTAGAGATAGAAAACAAAATGCAATATAAGTTTACCAAAGGTAGATCATGCCAGACTAACCCAATATCTTATCAAAGTTTTTTCAGGACAAGGGAAATGTGGTGGATCTCATCCTTCTGGACGTCAATAACATATTGAATATGCTGCATGAAAAGTTAGCAGCAGACCTGGAGAAAATGGGGATTGATACAACTGTGAAGTAAGAAACTGGCTAAAAGAAAGCATTGGGTTCCTTAAGGATGTGCACTGGAATCAATCCTGCTCAAGACTTCCACTAATAGTATCAGTACAAACAAATGTGGATATTATGATATAGTTAACAGATAACCCAACGTTGGGAAGCACTGTCAATACAGAGAAAAATCAGGATATCACACAAGGATAACTGGATCGCTTAGAAGTGTAGAAGTGGGACAAAATTCAATAGTGCAAGGTCATGCACTTGGGAAACAATAAAAGGAATTTCTGCTATGAACTGGAAGCGCGCAGCAGTTGGAAGTGACAGAGTACCCAAAAGCCCTATATAAAACTTAATCATCCAGCGATTAACTAATAACCACCAACATAATGCATCTGTGAAATAGCACAGGTGATCCCAAGGGGCATCTGGAAAGATGGAAAGTATTTATGCTAATGATTCTGAACTAGGGTGCTAGGGCACCTTGAGGTGCTTTGAGATTCTTTGAGACATTTACAAAATAAATCCAGCATATTAAAATCATGGGTTTTTCAGGGTCCTGCACATATTAGCACTGTTAGATGTGTAAACACTATTCACAAGATAAATCCAGAGATTTCACGTAGGAATTCATAGTGTTAAAAAATTTCTGCCCTGTTGTGTTCCAAGTTCTTTCTAACAAGAATTTCTCCACTATTTTTCTGAAGTCAAACAATAGGTGAATATCAAGAGCTGGCAAACAAAGTTCTTTGAGTAAATGTGATGTCTTTTATTAGACCAACTAAATAGTTGGAAAAGTTGTTCTTTGCAAGCTTTTGGGAACAAACACCCTTCTTCAGGCACAGGGAAGAGTCTGCTGTTGTGTGTTCTCCACGCCCCCAACCAAGAGCTGGCATTTTGAAGGGTGCCTAAAGTCTAAAAAAGTTGAGAACCACCAGTTTATGCCATTATACAAGGCACTAGTGAGGATACTATGAATACTTCAAAGCATCCATGTTCAAAATGACCTGCAACAGGTGCTAAGAAGGGCTACTAGGATAATCAGAGGACTGGAAAGCCTCTCATGGAGGGGAAACTAAAATGCCTTAATGAAGCCTAGCAAAACTCCTTAACAGTAATATAACTGCTCTCTAGGAAAAGAGCAGGGGAGAAGCAGGAAAAAGAGGTCAAATACTAAGAAAGGGAAAAATCTGTTAAAAAATAAAATAAAAAACACAGCTTAAGGACAATGTTACCATCAAAGCAAATAGGTATAAAATAGCCATGAATAAACTTCATCTTGAAGTTAAACAAAGGTTTATAACCAAAGGAGTTAAAGCTGTGCAGAGTTTTCCCATGGGTTGTTTGCCTCCACTACTCCCAAGATGGAACATGCCAGTTTTTATGAAAGGGATGATGTGACATGATTGCTTACAAGAGCAAGGACTGGATTCTGACCGAAGAGGTTCACTAGTCCCGTTCACCTAATCTGTAGAACTAAATAGGATGTTCTCATCCCGACTGAGGTTTTTCTCCCCCGCAAAGTTCCTTATTACTGGCAGGACTGCATTTCACTTATGTTTTGCCTCTTAAGACATTTGTTTATTTTCAACTGTTTGTCACAAGCAACAGAGGACAAGACAGAATAAGTTCAATATAGACAGCATCAATGAAAGTCTCCCTGCCAAAATACTTGAAGTGTGGCATTTAAGGACCTCCAAAGACAGTGGAAGGGTAATTATAAGCACATCCATCCCACCCATAATTGCAGAAGGGTTTTTTGTTTAGTTTTTAACAAAAAGCAATCCCTCAGAGATACCAAATCCTGTATCTTCTTTTTTTTCCCCTCAAAAAGTACAAAATGAACAACTAGGAAATTTTAGCTTAAAATTAGGCTAAGGCACTCTTCTGCTGACCTGATGGATTTGGCACAACATTTCTGCAACTGCTTCCTACTGTGTCATTCTGTAATAGCTCTGAGCAGTTGCTTCACAAACTGTACAAAGTGTATTGGGCCCACAGTACCCCCCAGGTATTGAGTAAGAGTGCCCCAGTTGATGTCCTCTTTTGCAAAAACCTAGTCAAAGTGCCTGAAGAATTCCTCTGTACCATGGCTGTCCAACTGGTGGCCTGTAGGCCACATGTGACCTGTGCAGAGTTAAGTTGTGGCCCCTGGGCTCTGTTGCAGTTGGAGTCTCCAGGCTCCCCCTCTGTCCTCCAGCTTTTGCCGCTTGCTCCACAGGATGGGGCAGTGCAGTAGGGCACGCCTAGTAGAGCTAAAAGTGAGCTCAGGGCTATGAGGCTGTGCAGTACAATGCTGGGGTGGGGAACAGCAGATGTGAAGTACCCCAGGGGTGGAAAAGCAAGCATTCTGTACACCAGTGGAGGTGGCCTTCTTACACGGAGCAGCAAAAGCAGGTGGGGCGGGGGGCACAACAGGACTCATACAGTGTAGCACGATGGGAGGGAGATGTGCGTGCAGCCCAGGGCGATCCCATGGTTCTCACTGATGCAGCCTGTGGGTGTGCCGCCTCTGGGATGTTCAGGTGCTTAGGTGGACAGTCCTGCTCTGCATTAATGCTGTATATGACTAAATGGTTCTCTTCCCTGAAGGAGAGCAAAGGAGAGTGGGAGAGTTTAAGATTCTGGCTCCTGCAACATCTTTTATTACTACTCTGAGGAAGCCTCTGGATCCTATTTCATGTGAGGCAGTAGTCAAAAAAAAAGCCTAGAAATCTCCATTTCCTTAGGGACATTCTAGAGGATTAAACATGTACCCTGTGATAATTACTGTCCTCCCTTGGTTAAATAAAAAAAGTTTAAGTAACATTAAACTAAATGCGAGTGGCAGATGAACACTGTAAGCACCAGTTACAGATGCACTTACATCAATGATTGCTGCTGCACTGCTATCAAGGTGTTTGTACAAGTCATACAACACCTCTCTCAGTTTCTTCATTGTTTTCTTATTGGGTTGAAGGAGCATTGCCTGGAAGTTAACTGGTAAACCATACCTGAGAGATCAAGCAGAAAAAAAAAAATGCCATAGGGCACAATTAGACTTTAAACTGGCATAACAGTCTATTCAATC